TATGGAAATGTTTAAAATCATGTTTTATTTGTTTGCCATTCGTATATGCGTTGCATTCGTATAAGCGCATGTGTAAAGAGAAACTAGTTAAACTTTTTAAAATTTTATGTTTTTTATAAAAAACTTTTTATGAACAATAGGCGAACAAAAGTGCATAGAAAGTAAAAACTTGCGATGTGTAAAATAGGTTATGTTTATTCAGATATATATACAAATACATAAATGTACATGTGTGTGTATATTTTCTGATGCTCATTCAACGCAAGGTATCTGCCAGTTGAGCCACTCATGCCGTAACTTAAATATTACCTTTTTTTGGCAACATGCTCGTCGCCGCAATATGTTTAATCAGCAGAGTAAACCAGGCAGGAGCTGACCAGGCACAGGCTCAGGCTCAGGCTCTGCCTCTATCTCTGGCTGAGGCTCGGCAACGCCTCCCACACACACACACACACACACACACGCACAAAGGAGGGAAAAAAAGCAAAAGGACCTTCGCTTTGGCGACTGGCCGCAAATGTCCGTCTCTGTGTCCTGCGAATAAAAGTTGTCCCTTTTATGCACATGCACAGAGACACGATGTATACGATGTACGATATTTATATGCTACGCTGTATATTTAATTTTAGTGCATCATAAAGTTGGCAAAGTCAATGACCAGTTAAGTCAACAGATGAACCAGCCACCCAGTTCCCGCCTGGGCGTGGCTGTTGCGCTGGGCGTGAGCACGAGCTGCGCCCATAAACTTCTGAATGTCCAGATTATCCACATTTGTGAGTTATTTGAATTTGCACATCGCTTGCAATTTAATAAAATATTTCAATGGGACCTGCGCCACTAAATGAAAGCCACAAAATCATAATAATTATAGTAATAATAATGACAAATCATAATACACCAGCCGCCGAGCACATCTCTAGGATGATGATATTATTGAAATGTGGCTGGCTGTCTGGCTGTCTGTCTGGTTGGCGTTAAGCGCTGCCCGCGGCCTCTGCCGCGTACCGAAAAGCATCCTCGAGAATTGTGCAACATTTTACACTCGACTGCGAGCAAAAAAATATATTTTCGTAAAATATTTTTATACCCGCACCAAGCGTATGCTATGGGGCATAATCGCAACTATTACCAGAGCTTTTCATTCCTCGCATCTGCCGTTTGGAATTTATGGCCACGGCAATCGAGGATGAGCACAGCTCGTGCCTACGAATTCAGTTTCTCTTCAGATTCCAAACAAATTGGATAGTTAGAACTGGTTTATATAATTGACAACGAGCCGAGCCTGACATGAAATCAAATTTCGGGCATCAGCTCAGCTTGATATTGAATCAAATTTCAGTTTTCCCAATGCAAAATAATAAATACAATTTCCAGTGTGAAATAATAAATAGCAAATTTTGCGGCTCTCATCATAACAATAAATTGCAAAAGTTTCTCTCAAATTTAAATCATATTTTAAGGCTTTGGTTTTTCATGGAACAGTTTCAATGCAGTTGGTTTTCAAGGAATTACGATTCAAGTTAACATACATTCGTTTCATTTGTTTTTACTATCAGTTGGTTTACTTTAAGGCTTAAGTTGGTTTTATGTTTTACATTCACTCAGCCATTCAGCTATCCAGCTATTCAGCAATTCACATCAATGAACTCGGATTTTGGTTCATAGCTTGAAAAGTTTACAATGATTCAAACAATT